TCTGTCTGTCTGTCTGTCTGTCTGTCTGTCTGTCTGTCTGTCTGTCTTACGACAAACAAAAATACATAATTACTAATACACACACACATATATGACTAGCTGTCCGTTTAGGACACGGGTTGTCATGTAGCGACTTTCGAGTGTCGCGGCTCAGACCGCCCCTTTTGCAAGGAAGGGGATCAAGCTGCGCCGCCATGGAGCAATCCGACGAGCTCGGGTTGCTGTGCTCCTTGGCAGGTATGCCTGCCAAGGAGATCAGACTCCTGGAGCAAGGTGGCTGGACGGTCACCAGACTTGCTACGTTGCATGGTGGCAAGCGTGAGCTCCTGGAGGCCGTCGTTTGGAAGCTGCAACAGCTGGACGCAGAGTGCACCATAGAGATGAGCGTGCTGCGCGATGTAGTGGACCGTGCAAACGACAGGGCACGCACGAGGCACATGCTGGATGCGAAGAGAGGAGGTGCGGATCTGCTTGAAGCGCACGTGAGCCATCAGCGGGCCGTCAGGCAGAAGACCTTCAGTACCTATGTAGCCGAGGACACCAAGGCAAAAGTGGAATTGGTGGGTACAGCTAAGAGAGGAAGGTGGCCCACACGCCTTAGCATGAAGTTGCACATCGCCTCCTCTGACCTAGCGCTTCGGGAGTTGGCGGAACGGCAGGAGCGAGAACGATGGCTCAAAGAGATCAGGTCCATCGTCAAGTCGGCCCGGCTACCAGTGGCCGTGAGATCCTCGGACGAGGCGCTGCTGATACGGGTGGCGAAAGGCAGGAGACCAAACACGCTCCGCAAGCACGTCAAAACGTGGATGAAGGCGGCAAGGTGGATGGATGCTGCATTCAACTGCAAGTGGCCTGCTTCGCCCGAGCAGTTTGCAGAGTTCCTGGAGGCGATGGTTGAGGAGCCTTGCGCACGCAGTTTTCCAGAGTCCATCTACAAGACCTTGATGTTCTTGGAGCACGCAGGTGAAGTGCCAGAACAGGACCAGATTTGCCGCTCGGCTGCGGTGAAGAATGCCCTGGAAGAAGCATCGCATCGGTTGCAGGCCATCGAACAGAAGACAGCGAAGAGGCAGGCCGCTCTGCTGCCCGTCGCTGTTATCGTGGCATGGGAGGATCATGCGCTGGACGAGTCAGCGTCCAACTACTCCCGCATCTATGCATGGTTTCGCCTGGTGAAGCTGTGGACGGGCATGCGCTTCGACGAC